CGTTAAATTGCAATTTTAAACTAAGGTATATCATTTTGAAACTAACAGGAATTGTGAAGTGACACATAACATATACACTTATACGCCTATTTGTATCTTCATATACATTTAACCATTAGCCTACATACTTGCAAATCACATAATCCTCTTAAAGCGTAACTGCAACAAACCTTATACTTGAGCATAAACACGGCATTGTTACCAACTGTATAACATATCAGTCGCTAAAGTAAATTAGTTATACCGAACTTTTAAGAGGTAGTTTTCAGGTGTAAAGTATCATTGAAATATCGAAAGTGTAGAGGTATTGTGAGTATTGGATTTTGTCTTAAATTCGGAATTTATGATTTTTATTCGGATCACTTATTAAATCAGAAATATCTTGAAATTAGAAAAACATTTTCTCCCTACAACATTAATTACAATATAAATATTAAAACTTTGAAAGTTGCTATAGTAAATTTTTGTCTATCATTTCTAATTTCAATTAGAATTATTAGTTTGTTATTTGCTTTCTTTTAACCCTTCAGTTGATCCTTTAGATCTTTAATATCCTCCTTAATTTGCCTAAGAGAGGGCTCTTTAGTTGATTCTTTCAACTCTTTAATTGATTTTTTCAGCCCTTTAATAGCTTCATTAATTTGCGCAAGAGTGGGTTGTTCTTCAGGGAGTAGAAGAACTTCTTTAAGATTCTTCGAAATGTAAGGCTTTTTATAACCTGCCCATTTATTATTTTCGATATCAATTATATGTTCACGAAGTTTAATTGTGTGGCATTCATAAAACCTTTTAATGTAAAAATATATAAGTAATAGGAATAACGTTTTGTTTTTGCATGTAATTAAATAACTTACATAACAAACGGAAACCAATTTTCTTTTCTTCGTTGGTGAGGTAACATATAAAATAACTCTATTTCTACAATGATCTAAATAAAAAACCAATTATAGGATTTAAATTTTTGATTTAATAGTTTTAAATAATTATGTATTAAAAAAAATACCTCTCTTAATATATTCAAATAAGCAATATAACTGTTTTTATTACTACTGATTAAATTATTAAGAATTCCAATAAATAAATTCATCAAATAAATTAACGTAAAAAATGAAATCACAATCATTAAGAGCATTATTGTAATGTTTTCACTTGAAATCCACGAAGAGATAGGAGTCGAATCACCTAATAAAGAATAATTAAATATATATTTTTTTAAGTATTATATAATAAAATATTAATAATCTGTAAATACATTACCTGTAATTATCATGTAATATGTTGCAACAATTGAAGTACTAAATTGGTTAAACATATTTAAATCTAAATATTTAAATAATAAGTTATTAATAAACATATCCATAAGCAAGTTAACAATAAACCAATCTATTATATAAATACCTTGAGATGTTTCAGACGCAAATTGTAACAATAGGAATAAGGAGCATGCAAATGCAAATATAATAAATCCAAATATTATTAAAAAAGGTATTACTTTATCGATGGTATTCATAATAATAGCAATATAAATTCCAAAAAATTTTATAGAACGAAAAAAGAAAATAAATTTCAGCTCAAGGAATAAAGTTGAAAATGTGATAGCCCAAGTTGGAACAGAGCCATGCTTTAACCAATGAATAGAAGTTGCTATAGTAGATATTATAGCAACAAGATCTATTAAGATAATTAAGATAATAAATAAATTAAGAATGTGCCTATCTTAAACATTTTAATAAAAAAATTTACCTAGATAATTCCAAATACTTGAAAAATAATCAAAAGGTGAATAAATAAATTGACGGCCTTCAAAAAATAAATGCCAAAATCCAAGAACAACAGTAATATTCAGGAAAAATTTTTTATAATCCCAAGAAATATCATTAGAAAAAATGGAAATATTAATAAAAACACAAAGAAAAACTGTATAAATTGCCCAAGTTGCATAATAATATTTTTTTCCATAAGTATTCCATTTAAATCTAAGTAGTGCTTCTCCGTTTAAATATCTATAACATTCTTCATTTATTATTTCAAGCTTATTTGTATATGTAAAAGGACTGGGACTAGGTAACAATAATTCTTTCCAAACATTGTAATCTTTTGGATAAGAAACAAAGTTTGGCAGAGGAATTGCAAGTATAGTTGAACTATTAGAATCGATGATTGGTCTTATAATTGAATCTCGAAAAAAAGTATGACGTTCTTGAAAATTTTGGAAACTAGTTGGAAAGCTTTTTTGAAAACTAATCCAACGAATCCAAAGATTAGATGTCAATATGTCAAGAAATGATGTTTTAGATAAATGATAGTATCTTCCATAACTGGAAAGATGTGATGCAATAGAGTGTTCTATAATATAAGAAGGAACTACAAATCCTACCAAAGATAAAGCACTTTCTATAAATGCGGGATGATGTTCTGATAATTTATTAAAGTTTTCAAAAATAATAGTTAACAAAGAAATTTTAGAAATCAAATGGTTATCATCTTGCACAAATTTATCCATACAGCTGCCACCTAAATATCGAATCCATTTATCATCTTGTAAATTAATAAATATTTCCATGAGAATTTTTCCGTAGCAAGTTAAATAAAATTCATCGACGATATTATCTTCCAAAAAGATTTTGAAAAGCTGTATTTCTTCTTTGCCGAATTTAACATCTAAATTTCTATAGATAGTTTCATAACTTGAAGCAGGAAGAATTCTTCCTAAAGTCCAGTTGTTAGAGAAATCTTTAAATTTTCCCATTTCAAATTCGAACTGTTCTAAACGATCATTCCAATAATTCCAATAATAGTGCATCTTAATTTCTGAATACTTATAAGTCCAGATAATTATACCAATGCGTGTAATTGTGATGAAGTCATCATTTTCGAGAACATTACAATGTTGTATAAATTCTTTTCCATTAGAATAAAATGATGGAAGAATATCAAGATGCTTTTTTTTATCATCTGGATTCCATTCATTCTTGCGATAGTTATAATCAATTATTGTAAGTCTGACTGATTCATCATCTAATTCTAATCCCCATTTTAAAGCTTCTCCTTTAAATTCTTTTTTGTCAATATTATGATCATCAGATAATTTGCCATTTATAATATCAGTTATACTATCAATTGTCTTTTTAGACAAAGTTGTAATTCTATTTGTGCTCTTCAGTTCTTTTCGTAAGAATTTGACCCAATCATTGGTCACTAATTCTTTAATTGATATTCTTCCATCAATCGTATAAATTATTTTATCCGATAGAATTATGTATGGTTCTTGAATTTGGATTTGAATCCTTTCAAAAAGCTTACTTGCATTGGTTGGAGTTTTGAGGCTATAAGGGTCCATTAAATTATATTGCTTTCCTGACATATATAATAATCTTTCTCCTTTTTTAGAAGCAATCAAGTGAAATCTATCTATTTCCAATATCGTAAGAACTAAAAATAAGAAATCAAAATTTAATATAAAAGAATCTAAAAGAAATTTATATGATCATTTTTATTCTTCATACAATAACTTACAGGATGACAGATTCATTCCAGTTTCTGTGGAAAAACTGTATAAATATGTCTTATTGGTTTTTTCATTTCTTGCGCATACCAATAATAATTCTTCATCATCGCTAATTTCTATAGACTTAGGTGTAAGATTCCAATCTATTAAAACACGAGTTGTGATCGATAATTCTTCAATGTCCCACACCGTGAGCTCATAAATTGAATCATTAAATATGATCAATTTACCTTTAGGTTTAATATAAATGTTTTTAAAATATTTTAATTCGACCATTGATTTACAAACCCAGCTAATAGTATCTTTACTTGAAAAAACATATGCTCTGTAATATTTAGTATTGACCATTATAATATTATCGTTATCAATAAAGGATAAGAAGTCAATTTCCTTTTGCCAATCTGGAAATTTTAATGTTACTTCTTTTTCAGTTTCAAAATCGAAAATTTCTTAAAAAATGTGTAAAATATGATAAATGCAATTGAATTTACTGAAATGTCACTAATATTAATAATTTATGAATAACTTACTGAAATTATAAGGATTAATTCTATTAAAGCTGATTGAAACATATTTATTATCTGAAATTGCAAATATTTTTTCATCATTTTTTCTTGTGTGAATATTGCCAATATTAATTGTTTTTTCATAATCTAGATGTTCCCCTTGACTATTAATAGACCAAAGGTCGATATTGCTATCTTCATGCAATGCAGCAACATATTTCAATGTAGGAGAGCAGACAATTTCCAAAATTTTTTTATTTGCCTCGATTGGAATTACATGAGAATTATCTGATTTAGACGTCATTTCTAATTATCTTTGATAAATTCTTAATAGGAATAATGAAAATTTCAAATTATATTTATGACGATAAGCAGAATAAATTTCAATAAACAAAAAAAATTCTAATCATATTCGAAACTTTTGAAGGTTCAAACTAAGCCATAATGTGTTTGTAAATATTTTAAAAATATTTGTGAAAATGTAGTTTGCTATGTTTTTTACTTAAACATTCTAGCGTCTAACCCGTGATTCTGCGACGAAATTTTAAAGTCAATTGGAATCCTTATGTTATGCGTTAATTCTCAATTTTGCTATTTATAAATTCAAAACTATGTACTTACGCTACTTTGCTATCTGTAAAAAATTTGCTTATATCGTCAAAAATGTTTTGCAGACAGATTCAAACTTTTTGATATAAAAATTATTTAACAGGTGACGTCGAGGTGGCTTGAGTCGATTTAGCCCTATGCGTTGACGAAGTCACGCTAGGGTTATTATCGCGAGGATAACCTGATTTGTGGCTTATATGAAAT